ATGGAAAGAAATATTGTGTAACTTATGAATAAACTCCCCTTGGAAAATCTCCTGGAGCAGAGGTACGTGTAAGTAATTCTTTCAAATATTTAAAGATAAGTAATTCTTATTCCATATAAACTCTTCTCAAAAATAAATTTAAAATGTATACAACTCTTCCTATAAGGCAACTATGATTCTGATACTCAAACCAAAGAAGGATAATGTAGGGGAAAAAATAAATATAGACAAATATCATTAATGAATATTGATTTAAAAGTGTAAAACGCTGCTAAAGAGGCCACATATCAAAAAATTACTCTATACTCAATTTAGATATATACCAGGAAGTAAATAATGGTTCAATGTTAGGAAAATATTTAGCACAAGTGATCATGTCAGTAACAAAATACTAAAAATTAAAATGTAACATAAATAGATGCAGAAAAAGTCTTTGAGAAAATAATAGTATTTACATTTTTAAATAAAAAGAAGAATAGGAATGAAAAGTTCTTTCCTTAATAGGAGCTAAAGAATTTATCTATAGCCAAGAAGTAAAAGATAGGGGGGAAATTTCTGGGAAAAAATCTTTGCAGCAAATTTCTCTCATAAAGGCCTCATTTCCAAGATATATAAGAGAATGGTTCAAAATTATTGTAATAAAGATGTGTTCCAACTGATAAATGGTCAAAAGATTTAAAAAGGAAATTCTCAAGGAAAGAAATCAAAGCTATATATAGATATATAAATTTTAAAATGCTCAAAATCACTAATAATTAAAGAAATGCAAATTAAAACCACTCTGATATTCCAAAGCAGACTTATCAGATTGGCTAAGTTGATATTCCCCTCCCCCATTCAAAAAAAAAGGAAAACTACAAATTTTGGAAGAGGTGTGAGAAAACAGCATGTTGATGTCCTATTTGTAGAGTAACTGATATAGCTATTCTGGAAAGCAATTTGGAACTATGCTCCCAACATTACTAAACTGTGCATACACTTAAACCCAGAAATAACACTAGTAGTCCTGTACTCCAAGGAGATCAAAGAAATAGGAAAGGGCCCATCTGTATAAAAATATTTATAGTAGCTCTTCTGGTAAGGCAAGAATTGGAAACTAAGGGGATGCCAATTAATCAGGAAATGGCTGCAATGAAATGTTATTGTGCTGTAAGAAATGAAGAAAGAAGAGGTTTCAGAGAAACCTTGGAAGACTTATGAACTGATGCAGAATGAAGTAAGTAAAACCAGAAGAATGATTTACACAGTAACAACATGGTAAAGGCAAACAAATCTGAAAGACTTAAGAATTCTGATCAATGTGATGATCAATCAGAATTCTAGAGGACTCACATCCTGGCAGAGAGGTATTATAACAGTATGCAGAATGAAATACACATTTTTAGACATGGTCCATATGGGAATTTGTTTTGCTGATTACGCTAATTTGTTAAACAAAAGGTATTGATTTCTTTTTTCCCCCCAGTGGGAGTGGGGTGGGAAGAGGAGAGTAAGAGGAAGGGGGGAATATATATACATATACATATATATAATGCTTAATAACTGAAAAAACTAATTTAATAAATAAAATCTAGCATCATTTTTGATGCAAAAACAATGAGAGCTTTGCCAATAAGATAAAGGGTGAAGCAAAGATGTCCACTGTCTCAACTATTATTTGACATAGTAGAAAAAATGGTAGTTATAGGACAAGAAAATAGCTTAATGAAATAGGCATTCACAAAGTGGTAACAAAATCATCTCTATTTGTACATACTATACAAGGATTTTCTTGGAAAACCCTAGAGAAGCAAGGAAAAAAAGTGATATGGACAACTAACAGCTTTAGGAATACAGTCAAATACAAAATAAATTAACACAAATCATCAACATTTCTCTTTATTACCAACAAAAGCCAGGAACAAAGGACATAAAGCAGTACCACTTAAAATAACAACAAAATGATTTAAATGTTTGGGATTTAACCTATCAAGACATATATAGGTTTTATATGAATAAAACTTGGTCATTGTTCAGTTGTTTTTCAGTCATATCTGACTCCTCATGACTCCATTTGAGGTTTTCTTGGCAAAGATATTGGAGTGGTTTGACATTTCCTTCTCCAGCTCATTTTATAGCTGAGGAAAGTAAAGCAAACAGAATTAAGTAACTTGCCCAGGATCACACAGCTAGTAAGAATCTGAGGCCAGATTTGAACTCTGGAAGATGAGTCTTCTTAACTCCAGATTACTCTATCCACTGTGCCACCTAGCTACTCCATAAATATAACTACAAAGCTATTTTCATAGAAATAGAGACCTAAATAGTTAAAGAAATCATTTTCAAGGCTAGGCCACAGCAATACAGCAAAAAGTGATGTTATTCAAATTAATCTATAAATTTAACACAATATTTATCAACTGCTAAGGGAATACTTTAAAGAAATAGACAAAATAACTAAATTCATATGGGGAGAGGTGTGGGCAAAAAGATCATTAGGGTCTTAGGAAGTTAGAGGGTTAGTACTTTGGAATTACCTGATCTCCAGTTCTATTACAAGGCAGTAATCACCAAACTATCTAGTTCAGTGAAAGAGATTAGATAAGCAATACCAAGAACAAACAAATATGAAAGTCTAATGTTCAAGAAATCCATGAATGAAATCTATTGAGGAAGAGACAATTTCACACAAAAAAAAAAACTGCTGAATAAGGTGGATAACAGTTCGGTAGAAAATGGATTTAGAATCAACTAATATCATATATTATGAACAAATAAAAGGTCTGATTTTTTTTAACCATATCATTAAAGCATTAAAACTAACTGACTTTTTGATAATCCAGGACTCTCCCTTCCCCATGCCCAAATGCATCTTGAGATGGCAGAAAGAGAGATCAGAAACACCTGTTTCTAATAAGGGGCACTATGGACTAAAATTTGCTTCCCCAACCAACCCTCATTTCCTCACTGCCAAGTTTCCATCAGGCACTGGATACCCACTGCAAGCTGGATGTTGACCTCCAGATTTCTCCATATGCTAAAGAGATCCCATAACCTTACTCAACTCTAAATTTTAATCCAATTATCTTCTTGTTAGGAGAGTGACCATCTGGCCTGGCATTACACCTCACAACCCTCTTGGCCTTGCTACTTTCCCGGCCTACGGCCTTTCCATTTTCTATGAATCAACCATAAACATGAACCCTCTTTACTGTTGTCTTCCCCAGCTAGAATGTGATTTGCTTGCAGGCCATAACTGTTTCAATTTTCTATTCGTATCTACACAGTTGCACAGTGGGTGGTACATTATACAAACTTAAAACTTTTCTATTCCATTTTATTAGAGAAAAATAGGTTTTACCTCACACAACTATGAATAGAGAAAGAATTTATAACAGACACACAGTAGTATAGTTTTTTTAAAAAAAGAGGCACATTGGTCTACATAAAATTTTAAAACTTTTGAATCCCCAAAGTAATGGAGGAAAAACTTTACATTAAAATCTCTCTGACATCAAAATTTTAGAAAGAATTAACCCAAATTCATAAGAATAAGAACCATTCACCAGTAATCAAGTAATCACACAACATAGTTTTCATAAAAAAGAATTGTAAACTATCAACCATGTGAAAAATATTCAAAATCACTAATAAATCAGAGAATTTCATCACTTGTGAGGTATTACATCCTCAAAAGCAAAAATGAAAAATTCAATGTGAAGAGAGGTTGTAAGAAAACAGGTATGCCAATTCACGGTTGGTAGAAACTCTTACTATACCCAACCTTTCTGGGGGGAAAAAAAGATTTGCAATCATATAGGAAATTCTAGTGTTCGTACTTTGATCAAGAAATTCCATTACTAAGGGACCCAAAAGGGGTGATGGCCCCTTTGAGACAGCCTCTTTTTTACAATCCAAATGAACAAAAATAGTACAAAAATAACTTTACTATTTGTAATAGCAAAAAGCTGAAACAAACTATGTACCCAAAAGGAAAAATCTAAACAAACTGTGGTATATGATGTAATAGAATATCATTCAACTGTAAGGAATAACACATATGAAAAATTCAGAGAAATATGGGATGACATATGAAGTGATGTAGAGTGAATAAAGCATAGGCAAAGGAAATACATACAATGACTATAACAATATACATTAAGAAAACACTAAAAGGCAACAAAACTCAAGATAAAGATAATGGACAATGTTATTAATTACTAGCATATTAATTATTAGCAAATTATTAAAGTTAAAGCACACATTCATCTTTTCTGTTAACAAATATCAAAATGCCAAATGGAAAGCAATGTGTACTATCGGTTTCAATCACTCTATTATGAGTTTGATTGCTTGGGGGAAATGTACTGGAGGGGCAGAGAAAAAAGAGGGGAGAGATGAAGAAGTGTTGTTTGTTAGTTGGGATGTCTGTCATGACAACCTGAAAAACAGAGAGAACACATACCCTGTGGAAGGGTGATGAGGGAGGAAGGGGGAGAGAAGGAATCCATACCAAACATCATATTCTCAGCAGCTTGACAAACCCTAAGCAAATCAGAGTCAAATGAAGCTATGTTGCAGGAATCACCATATTTCCTGAGATAAATGACACTTTGCTAGGAAAACTAGAAGAATATAACACCACCAGCATACGGCTCAAGCTTCTTCCTACTTTTTATTGCCACTTATACTTGTTTCCCTTCCCTGGTCCCTAAAACTGTCTACAGCACTAAATAATCATATAGCCCAAGTTTATATATATATACATACATAAAAATGTATATATATATTTTTTGAAAATAGCCTAAACATTGACTTTCCTATAGAACTTCTAGATTCATGAATATCACTCTAACCACTGAAATGATTACTCAGACTGAAAATAATCTGCTCCCTCTCTATATATCCCACTCCCTATATCAATAGGCATTAGTAGGGTGTGATTGAGATTCAACCCTTTGTCCAAACCTGGAAGAACCATCCTCCACCCTGGTAGCACCTGGGAAGAGAAATTAGCTTACCACTGTGAGGTAAAGTCAACAAACTCTGCTGAGAACTTGTCTGCTGGTAGTTGAGGTGATGGTTCTTCCACCACCTGTTTGAGCTGCTGAAATGGTGTCCCCCAGGAATCATAGGGGAACCGAAGGATTGCCAGTTCGATCTAAGAACAGAAAAAGGAAAACAAGATGTTGCTTTACATGTGGAACCAGTTGCTTTCCATTTGAGGAACTGGAGGAAATTCCAGCTGAAGAAAAGAATGGAGTTCCCCTTATTCTCCCCTCCCCCCCATGGTCTTCAATGACATTCACCTGAGCCTATCAGATAATAGCTTCTATTCTGGGGTGCAAAGTTCCTGCAACTTTACAGTTTTTTTAAATTAACTATATTAAACACCACATTTGTAGGCTTCATAATTTATAATACCCAGAATTTCAAACAACTATTACCAAAAAGAATTCTTCACTCACTCAATTCTTTATAAATATGTATATCTGCTGCCATCTGCTGGCTCCTTACAGATTAACCCAAGACCAAATAAGACCACTTTTGCTGTGATTGTGGCATGTGCTGCCTGGACAAAAGAAATGAAATAACTTACAGAATTAATTAAACCCTGGTACTCAAGATGCTTTTAAGAGTAGCCATATAGATTATCCCAGGCTTTGCAAATACACGGCAGCAATAGGATTATGGAATATTACAAATTCTACAAGAATTATAGATTCTCAGTATTAGATCTGTTAGTCCTCAGCTCCATTCTCCTGTCTTTCAGATGGGAGTCATCACAACAATCCATAGGCTCATATGAGACCTACAGACAATGTAGGAGACAAAGCCACTCGCTCAAGCTGACCTGAGCAAGTTAGTGGCAAAGCTGGAACTCAAATCCAGGTCTTCACATGTCCAGTCTAGTTCTGTGCTTGAAGGCTCATTATTGACTTCAAAACATCCAGAGAAATAATATTTTTATCCAGACTCAGTGACAATGACTCCACTAGAATATCCTAATGTATCTACCTAATTTAGGTGAAATCTATCCCTGCCTTTGCTCAAAGCACAGGCTGTCAGAGCCAGAAAAGAACTGAGAACTCACTCTAGTCTAATCCCTCAATTCATGGATGAGGAGAATGAATCAAAGTTATATCTAATTAATGGAAGAGCAAGAATTAGAATGCAATGTCTCCTTCTTTTGGTCCAGTATTCTTTCTGCTACACAAACATAGTTTATATTCAATATTCAATTCACCTATTCCCTCTCCTCATGCCCTTGGTATCAATTTTCATGAATCCTAGGTTAAAAGTGAAAAAGATGTCCTATCCCCTCAAATGTCAGAGGAATTTGACCAAAATTTAAGAATATTGCTCTTCAATTCTAAAGTAAGCTCAAACCATCAACTTCAGTCTCAGTCTCTGAACCTTCAAGTAGATGAGTAACACCATACAGTACCATTGTGATGCCCAGGCTCCAAATGTCAGATTTCACATTGTACCCCTTCTGGTTTAGTTCTGGGTTTATTCTTTCAGGCTGGAAAGAAAAATAAAAGTGGAAGGATCACTACAGCCAGGAGAGGCTTCATACAAATACCCCACTGGACAAGACAGCTCACTAGTCACTATAAGTATCAACACCTCAATGTAGGAGCTTTTGATAGTTGTCTTCAAATGATTACAGTGCTTTGAGAGAAATGCTTATGAATGTACTCATTCAACAAGCTCAGAAGGTATCTTATCACAGAGATCAATCTAGAACTATCCATTCATAACACAAACCCCAAAAGAATAAAATGATTCAACAGGTTCCACTGAAGTTGTCATATTGATGTAGAACTAAACAAATTTTCATTTTTAACTAAGCCTTGATAAACTATTTTTCAAGATATTGTACAAATTCATTTTTAAGGGAAGCAAATAACAAGTTCTTTGAACTTAAGAAGGACCTAAGAATACTGATTGTAGAAATTAAACCTCACAATTAGGAAGTTCTCTCATGTCTAATCTTTTTCCTCCTGTGATGTCACTTAAATTCATTCCTTCCTGTCTAATACTTAGTATGGGAAACAGTTCCAAGAACTCATCTTGGAAGACTATCAAGATCTCACTATTCTAAGTTAGTATTTAAAAAACATCATTGTTCTGTTCCTTTAGTATAACACTAAACTTTAGATAACTTTTTTTGGTAATTTGATAAACTTGCTAACCTTTTATTTATTGTTAACTTATTGACTAAAAATCATAGCATAGTAGAAAGTCAGAGAGGGCTATGAGGAAGAATTGTTTCTTATGATGTAGTCACTGTGCTAGATTGCTTTAAATAACAGTTTTCCTTTCTTTTAAGAGGGGATTCTATAGGGAACAGTACTGGGAAGTGACTATAGTGTAAAAATAACAAAAATGGTAAGTAAAAAATAAAAAAAATTTAAAGTATAAAAAATAAATAAAAGTCACAGAAGGAGAGGAGCTTTAGAAGAATATATTAGTCAGTGAATCACAGGAAGCAATTCTCTCTCAATGATGGGACCCTTCCCACTTTCTAGGAGGATTCTGTAGACTGTCCTCTTTTAGAGTCCATTTTCCGGCTATGAGACTTACAGCCATGTAGGGTTTGCATCCTGCATCCATAGTTTTGGCCACAGAGTCCACAAGGTAACCACTAATACCAAAATCACACATCTTCACTTGGCCCAGTGTATTGATTAACACATTAGATGGCTTGACATCTGAAAGAAAAAATATGCTATATGCCACTGCTAGCAGCAGTGTTTCATCTCAATTGCACTAAAGAAAACTAGCAAAAAACAAAGTAACACATACATACAAATGGTTGCCCTATTCCCGCTTCCACAAATCAACTGGTAGGTGAGCTTGCTGGGGATAAGAAGGTCTTCCTTCTCTGAAATATTATACTTTATACTGACCTTTACCTTATCTGAGTTCCCTTAGCACATATGTGCAATTTTGCCTTTTATTTCCTATCTTCCTGTGCCTGATAAGATTATAAGCAACTTGGGGTCTTTATTTTCTGTACAGTCTTTATAGCTCAAGGCAAATAATAAGTACTTAATAAACACTTGAAGAATTTATAAATTCAGCATAATTAGAGATAAAAGAGATCATTTAGTGCAAAGTCCCAGTTTAACAGAGGAGGAAACTAGGACCTAGAGAAACAAGGGAGTTATCCAAAGTCACACATTTCTGGGGCTCAACCTGAAAGAATTTAAATGAGTGATTCCTTAAAATACTTAACATAGGATCAGAATAGTCAGAACTTTGTAGACTGCTACAACCAAATTTAATTAAGTGAAAATATTAAATATTTACTGAAAAGCCTGAAAACTATGATAGAACCATGGTGAGCTCACACACTGTTACAAACATATTGCAAGCTCAGATTTTTCCCCATTGTATGATCAGTGATCTTCAAGTTGGAAGGGACTCAGAGTCCATGTTTTGCATATGAGGAAACTGTGGTCCAGTCTGTGTGACTTTCCACCATACCATGCCCTAACCTTTCTTGGAATTCACATTTGGACAGAAATGAACCATTATTTAATATTTTAACAATGAACCTTTGCTCCAATCAGGCTAGTGTCCTGCCTTGTTCATCTTAACCTCCATACCTTTACTTGTTCTAAAGTCTCTGCCTGCTATGTCCTGATAGCTACTCTCTGCCTTTGACTTTCTTCAAGATTCAGTTTAAAACTCATCTCTTTCAAAGGGCCTTCCCTAAATAATTTTATACCATCTTAGATGGTCCATTTCTCTAATTTCTACGGTACTTCTACTTTCCATGATTCAATTTAACATACACATTTTCTTCTTCTTCTTCTTTTTTTTTTTTTTGGCTAGGCAATGGGGCTAAGTGACTTGCCCAGAGTCACACAGCTAGTGAGTGATATGTGTCTGAGGCCGAATTTGAACTCAGGTCCTCCTGAATCCAGGGCCTGTGCTCTAGCCACTGCGCCACCTAGCTGCCCTTAACATACATATTTTCTTTTTGTTTCTTGTATTTATGTCTTAGGTCCCCAAATAGTCTAAAATTTTCTTGAATGTAAAAACTACTTCTTCAGTTAAGGCACAGAGCACCTAGTATAGTGCCCTTACCAGAGTAGTCTAATCCACTCATACTTACTGAATGAAGGAACCAAGCTTTAGGTTACCCCCAAAGTCATCATATTCCATCTCTTTCCTCTTGGCAGAACTATATGTATACTGATAGATTTCAACCCTGTCTTTAAAGACTTCCAAAAAAGAAATTCCCACTATCTGATGGGTAGTGGGATTCTCTGCATCAATTTATTCCTAACCTAAATCCTTCCCACTGTATTTTAGGTTCATCCCTTACCGTTCTATTTTTGTCCAAGACAAAGAACAGCTGTTTAAACAGGCTGCTAGCCAATCCCAAAGGGAAACTCCTTCATTCCTTTATGTGGCTTAATCCTACCTCTGGCATGGACAACAACTCACGTGGACTGGCTAATAATCTGGGACAGAGCGTACAGCAAAAAGGACACACACTTACCTCGATGAATGACAGAAAGTTTACTATGTAAATGTTCTAGGGCTTTTACAATCTGCAAAGGAGAAACAACAGAAATTCATTACACAATTAATGGGGAGAAATGGAAAGAATTTAACACCTACCTACACATTCCTTCTTCCTGACATGAGATTCCTAGAGGGATTTGCCGAAATTGGGGATGTCCCAGGAAAAGTAACATTGTAATATAGGTAAGGTTACATGAAATGTGTTCCAGAACGTTTAGAGGTTCAGATCCATTATCACCATGACTGTGAAGGAATCTCACTCATCCGCTTTCTTCTCTCATCAGTCTTCCATAATCTCAACGCTTTCCCTCTGATATTAACTCCAATTTAATTTATATGTACGTTGTTTGTTGGTGGTTTGCATGTAGTCTTTCCCATTAGAATGTGAGCTCCAGGGACAGCTAGGTGGCACAGTGGATAGAGCACTGGCCCTGAAGTCAGGAAGACCTGAGTTCAAATCTAACCTCAGACACATATCACTCACTAGCTGTGTGACTCTGGGCAAGTCACTTAATCCCAATTGCCTTACCAAAAATTAAAAAAACAAAAAAAAGAATGTGAGCTCCTTGAAAACAGGAATGTTTTTGTTTTTCTTTATATCTCCAGCACTAAACACAGTGCCTGGCAAATAATTGCTTAAAAATTGCTTGTTGGCTTAACATGACTTGATTGACTTTCATGATTTTCCCAGTTGTTAGTGCTACTCACCATACTGCCCAATTATTTGGCATATATATTTTGGATACTCTCCATTTATTAATCAATGTACATGTTGTTCCCCTACTTCCCACTCTCTACCAATAAAATGAAAGTTTCTTGAAGGCAGAGATTCTTGCGTACTTATTGTTTTATATCCTCCATGCCTAGACCAGTGCCCTAGAAGACAGTGAAATGTCTGTGGAACTAAATTAAATCTACTCCTACAATTCTCCTCTTTCTCTTGTCTAGATTTTGCCCTCCAGAATTTTTGTCTTCTCTCCAGTCCTTCTGTTATTTCCTTGCTCCTTTCTTTTAAATCCTCTATGCCTCTATTTCCAGAGAAATGATGGAGTGGAAGTAAGGAGGGGAAGTGAAAGACAATATTACAGTGCCAAATATGTGGTCTTGCCAAATAAATACACTCCTAAGAGGTAGTTTATTATGGGCAAAACCAACAAAGTCAGTGGTATAATTGTGTCTTCTGCCCATCTTCACCCAAAAGAGGAAAAAAAAAGGTCAAAATTGAACTACCTTTTTATTCCTTCATTTCAATGGCTTCTATTACATAAATATTCTACTCACAGAAACTGCAATTTTCCCTAAGATGTCCTCTGGGATCGTTAGGCCCTTATCAATGACTTGCTTGTAGAACTTGTCCAGTGAGGTATCCATGAGTTCCATACAGATCCACACATCACCCTAGAAGACGAGAGAGAGAGATAGATAGGGATAGGGAGAGAGAAAGAGAGAGAGAGAGAGAGAGAGAGAGAGAGAGAGAGAGAGAGAGAGAGGGAGGGATGGAGAGAGAAAGAGAGAGAGAGAGCAGGAACAACTCACATCCTTCCAAGGATGAGCAGTAAACATGTTGTTACTTGATCCTCCCAGCTGATGGTGCTCTACCTCCTTTAATATTCCTAGAACATTTTGTAAGTTCTGCTTGCTTTCATTAGTTCCTATTGAATAAAATGTTGAATCCTCCCCATTCCCAGGAGAATATTTATTGAAGAGCCTAAAATCCTTTGGGGCATGTATTATTTCATGTCTGTCTATCTGTCTGTCTATCTAATTCCTAGCATTGTATTATACACATAATGAGTACTTTGTGTTTATTGAATTAAGTTCTATTAGATTCAATTTTAAGTGCCACCTCCTGGGATATTAGAGACTTGCAACAAGGTAGGATTATCTCCAAGGCCTAAACCAGGGGTGGGGAATCTGTGGTCCTGAGGCCACAAAGAACAAAGAAGTTTGGATTCTGTCAAAGGGCCACACTTGAGGACCTAAAGGACCACGTGTGGCCTCAAGGTCACAGGATCCCCACCCCTGGAAACCAACAAGAAGCAAAGTTGGAAGTCACAGAATTTATAGATTACATTTAATGTAATGCAGACTAGATCTTAATTATTCAAAGTGAAATACAAGAGCTCATCCACCAGAATCAGTTACCTAAGCCTTTCGTTCTTTTTCAAATAGGCTTTTTACTGATATATTTTGTTTTTATATAGACCAGATTTCTCCTCTATAGCATTCCCAGGTGTATGTGTTCCCCACCACTACCCAAACTTTGGTATCTATTTTCTATATATTTTCCATATGTAGCCTCTCAGAGAACCATTTCTTACAACAATTTTATTTTTTTTAAAGAGAAGAAAGATTCAATAAAACTTATCAATACACTGAAAAAGTTTGAAATTATGTACAAGTTTCAAACCCATGGATTCCTCTGCCACATCCCAACCTCTGCAAATGAGTGGGAGGGTGGTATCTTTTCATGTCTCTTCTTTCAGGTCAAGCTTACTTTCTGTCATTTTACAACATTCAGCTTCAATTTAAACTTCTAATTCTAATGTCATCTTGGAGTTCAAGTATGATATATCCCCTCCAAGGTTGACCTCTGTATCTGAGGATCAGAAATGTCCTCTCAATCAAAATAACTAACATAAAGAATGAAAGTATATACTGTAACCCAAATGACATTAATTCTACCTTTCAGGATTAAAAAAAAAAAAAAGACACAGGGAAAAGCAAAAAAAACGGGGGGGGTTGGGAATTAAGTCTCTAAGTTTCAAATATGCTGCCAGTGAAATGCAACATAAGGGAGTCTTAAGTTTCATTTGGGCAGTTTGGCTAAATGAGACTCCACAGTTAGGTAATACAGCTAGAAAAAGCCAACCAAGTCAAGAAGGAGAAAGAGGGCTTATCATCAGTGAAAAGGGCAATCAAATAAGTTAACTTTTGGGCTTGGCTACACAGTAATCACATAACCCTTTAAATCACTCAAAATGTGTGTTTACTGAAAAGAATGATAATGGTCCTGAGTGTTCTTTACATATGGACAAATTTCTGACAAAGTAGTTATTTATCCGGTAAACCCCATCCTTTGAAAACTCCTAACAGGTGAACTACCTACCTCCCGGAAGAGTGCACCATAAAAGGTGACTGTGAAAGGGCAATCCACTGTCCTCATGGAGATATCCAGGTCCATCAGTAGCCTCTTCTGTTCCTGGCTATTCACAGTTGCTCGGATTCGCTAAATGAAAATATATGGGGAAAATTCATGGTTATTCTTCTTGGCGACAGTCAGGGCATGGAACTTGAGCTTTCCCATTCTAAAATAATAGATGACTTCTAGATGGGCCTTCTAAAAGACAAGGCAATTCAAAGAGCTCCTCACTTCAAATGAGTCATGATATAGTGAGATATGCCATGTCATTCATTTGACACACTTGAGCAATTTGCAATGGAAAAACTAGCTGGTAATATCTTTTGAGGAATCAGTAAGTAATTTGTATTTTCATCTAATGGTTTTTTTTAATTCTTCCAAAAACTGGGAAAATTTTGGAGTTGTACCTAAAACATTTTAAGAATTTCTTAATGATTCTTGCTTTCTAAGTCTGTAAAGGCAATTACAAGGAAAAATTTAAGCTTAAACTAAATTAGGGTTCTAAGAAGTCAACAGGCCACATTTTTCTTTTTAATTTATCCCTTAAAAAGAAAAACCCTGTATTTGAAGTAAGTATTGTAGAAGATTCAACCAGCACTCAAATTTTTATAGATATCACAAACTACTGATTTCTGGGGAGCTAAAGAAAAAACACAGACTATTCACCTTTCATAGAGTACATATAAGAGAATAAATGTGTACAAGGAGTCAAAAATGAGTGAAGGAATCATTTAGTCTAACAACATAAATTTCTTAAAAGAAAGGACAACAACCAGCACCAACGCCCACGTTTTTCAGAGACCTAAAAGGAACATCTAGTTTGTAGCAAAATGTGAATTAATGCAATATCACTAAGATCTCATATTCTCTTGAATATTTAGTCAAAATAATCAGTTTGACACTGAAGTCCTTGTTATGATAGCACCCTCAGCTATTTTTCACAACTTGGGTAAAAATGACTTGGATTATCTGACTACAGACGTTCTTTACAACAGCTCTGTTATTATCTACTAGATATACTGTTCTCAAATTTTCTTGATTTCTTGTCATTGAAGATACTAGTGGTTTTTAAAACCACATTTTTAAAAAAAAGTTTGATAGCTATTTGCATAAATTTTGCAAAAATTACACTCTGAAGGAGAGTCCTTCACCATGTCCATGCATGTGAAAGTTTTCTTCTTCTTAGTACTAAATTTTATAATAATAATAACAACACAATTAAGGTTTGTAAAGTGCTTTAAATATATTTCAAATGAGGATTTTTTATAAATGAGAATTTTATTCACACAAGAATTGTGAAGCAGATGCCATTATTATTCTCATTTTAATAGATGAGGAAACTGAGGCTTGGACAAGTGAAATGACAAATCACTGAACCTCATGACTCTAGTGTTCTATCCACTACACCACACTATCTCTCATATTAGAGTCAATGCTGCCATGTGACTGTTGTTTGTTTTTTCAAAGCCAATAATGATGAAGTCCACTTCAAAGATGGTTGAAGACCCATTCCCTGACCATTATGTGCCAATTCTCCTAAGAAGTCAAAGTTGCTGGGTTTTTTTTTTAAGCAATTGGGGTTAAGTGACTTGCCCAGGGTCACACAGCTAGTAAGTGTCAAGTGTTTGGTCTGAAGCTGGATTTGAACTCAGGTCCTTCTGACTTCAGGGTCAGTGCTCTATCCACCGTGCCACCTAGCTACCCCTAAAGATTCTTTTTTTTAAACACTCTCAAGGCAGGATTATTCCTCCAAAATGGATGGATCTTAAGTTAAATGGAAAAATAAGCACACATACACATAAAACATCTGGATAATCTCACTCTACCTTCACCGCCATGATCTGCCCACTAGGCATATGTCGCATCTTCTCCACCACCCCATATGCACCTCGTCCTAGTTCTGCTATAGGCTCCAGGTCATCAGCTTTCACTTCAAAATTCTAGAGGAGAGAAAAAAGTAAATTACTATAGACTCTGCTCAACTTCTACAAGCAATGAAGAAAAGGTTTCTGGGTAGAAAGTGTTCTAGGATGGTGAATCAACAGCTTCAGGCAAGAAGATCCAAATGAGATCTTAGTAACAGACCACTTCAGGGCCTGTCATAGTACCCACCATACTCTAGTAGAGACTTTAAATGATTTGATTTTACTTAGTTAATTCTAGAAAGAGGAGGAGAAGTAGAGGAAGGATGGAGAATCCAGTCACATTGTGTTGACTAAGCTTGAAATTTATCATATATTGCCAACTAAAGTTTGTATTCATGCCTCAAGCTACTCCTGCTCAAGGAAATTTGCTTTTTTTTTTCCCCTCAAACACAGGACTATAATTTTCCAACAGGACTACAATTGTTATGTTCTGCCTCACCATGCATAGTATAAACATTTCTACACACACCACTTTTCTCCCCACACAAGCCTCTCAGGAGCCACAACCTCCAATATATTGTTGCTGTAGTTCAGTCCTTTTCAGTTGTATCTGATTCCTCATGATTCCATTTGGGGTTGTCTTGGAAAAGATACTGGAGTGGTTTGCCATTTTCTTCTCCAGCTCATTTGACAGATGAGGAAACTGAGGCAAACAGTGTTAAGTGACTTGCTCAGGGTCACACAGCTAGTAAGTGTCTGAGGCCAGATTTGAACTAAGGAAGATGAGTCTTCCTAATTCCAGGCCAGGAACACTATGCACTATGGTGCCACCTAGCTGCCACTCCAGTGTGTTACACAGACTTAAATTAAAAATAATTCCCATCAAACTGGCCTACTAGCTATTCTCCATACTCCCAATATTATCCCACTTCTATGCATTTGTGTAAGTGGTACCCCACATCTGAAATGTACTTCCCTTCCTACCTCTGCCTTTGTAGACCCTAGCTCCCTTCAAAGTATTGTTCAGGTGTTACCTTCTATTTGATGACTCTCTTCATCCCCCCTTCCCAGTTATTAGCATTCTTTTCCTTATTTTGTATAGACTTTGTACTTACTTGTGTGGATATCGTATCCGCCCAGTAGAAGTTAAATTTCTTGAGGGTATGTATTGTTTTGTTTCCATCTTTGTATTCTCACCACCTAGCAGTGCCTTATATGTAGTTAGTGTTTAATGAATGTTTGTGGAACTGAAATTTTGTGGGAAAGTATACATGTGGAAAAGCCTAACTCCAGGTATTACCTGGATTATATGACTTGCTCTCACCTTATCTCCAATTGAGATGCAAGCCTTGGAATCTAAATCCCGAGGAGGCCTATAAAAAAAGAACATTAAATGTTAGAAATCTTCACAATATACATAATTCTGACCTATTTTGACTTCCAGGAGCCAAGATGGCAGAGTAAGCAGTAAGTCACTCTCACCCTCCCTTACTGACCTTGAAAAACCCAGAGAATATTACCCCAGGAAAAATCATGAAATAGTGGAGCCTGAAGAAAGACAAAGTGCAGCAGACTTTTAGCTCGGGAGGCTGGGGGGATTAACAGGAAAGGTCTCTCTTGCTGTGGCTGAAGGAGATCAGTACAGGATAGGAGGCATTCCAGCAAGCCAGACGCAAGCCCCACCTCAGCAAACCAGCAGGAGATCCTAAGCCTTAGGGCAGTGGAGCAGGCAAGCGCCAACACCAGGCGCACACCAGGCACCACCACCAGTTCCAGCTTAGCACCAGCTAAGCTACCAGATGCCTCCAGCTGCCAACACCTGAGGCCCCAACACACAAAACCAGTAACCAGGCCCCTAGCCCATCAACTTCAAAAGCCAGAAAAAAAAGGCAAACAATATGAGCAAAAAGCAACAAAGAAAAACAATGACCACAGAGAAGCATCTTTGTGATAGGGAAGATCAAAACAATATACATAATTCCTAAAAAGGAGAAACATGGTATTATCAACACAAAAGAGGACAAACCGAATGGTAAGTCCATGGCATATAAGGAAAGTCAAAGGAACTGGGGATGTTTAGCCTAAAAAAAAAAAAAGATTCAGGAGGCACAAGATAATGGTTTTCAAATATGGAAAAGCACTCTTGCTGAAAAAGAAATAGGTTTATTCTGTTTGACCGCAGATAGAAAAACCAAAAGTGATGGTTGAAAATGGCAAATAGGCATACATAAGTTTTAGGTAAAGAAAAAATTCCTAAGCATTACAGCTATGAAAAAGTGGAATGGGCTACCTCCAGAAATAGTAGATAATTTGGCATCACCAAGCAAAAGCTGGAAAACCACTTGCCAGGTATGTGGCATAGTGCAAATTCTTTTTTTCATATATTGGTTAGAGTACAGAGCCACTGAGGTCATCCTTTCCAACTCTGAAATTCTGTGATTATTCAAAATACTGGCTTCCAGATTCTTCATGATACATACATTTGTGTTAATATTCTCTAAGAATAAGATGTATGCTTGTAGTAATGAATTATTGAAACCCTAATCCGAAACCCTAGTCCCTAATCCTCTTACCAAGAACATCAACATGCTTTTCATTTAACCCTTTTTTCCCCCAGAGATGATCATAAAAAAAAAAAGCTTTGGACCAAGAAAATTAGGTTTCATTTAATCTTACTCCCACATTTTAAAGATGAGGAAACTAAGGCCCAGGAGTTAAGCTGCTTTCCCAAGGTCCCAATGGCACATGGCAAAAGTTGGAATAGAATGTTGGTTTCCTGATTTCCAGAACATTGCTTTTTCTAGCTGCACAGCTTGCTGCCTCAAGTCCAATAAAAAGGTATTTAGGATTATAAGATTTGGAAACAGAGATCATCTGGTCCACCTTCTCAATTTGCAGATGAGAAAAGTGATCCTTGGAGATGTTAAGTGACTTGACAAGGTCACACAGGCAGTAAGCAGTACAACCAGGATTTGAATCCAGTTCCAGTGTTCTATTTATTAAGCACCTATCATTCAAAAAGTTCCCCTAGGCGAAAAAACAACTGCTAGTTTCTTGATTTTTCTCCATTAGGGAAAATATGAACTGCCACCCCCCTCCCTATGTTTCAAGTCCCTTTCCACCAACTAAAAGGTACCTATCTTGGCCCTATCAGTAGAAAAAAAATGTTTATTACAGTACCACATGCTTCATTGGAGACCTTGCAACTATTTACAAAAAGTAAGTCTAAGAGGAAAGGTATCATGGCATAGTGGATAGAGAGCATATCTTTGGAGTCAATGTGCCTCTGATACACACATTCACTCTGATCACACACTAGTATCATGGGCAAACTACTCTCAGTGCCTGAAATAACACTGTAATTATTTCGTTGCAGTTATTTCTAAGTTATAAACTATTTGCAGAACTGCATCAATGGATAGATTTTCCCTACCAGATAGAAACAAAACATACAAAACTATACATCAGTATGCATGTATTGTGACATAATAGAATACTAGCCTCACAGCCAGGAAGGCCCGGAATCAACTACCTCCTCTGACACATACTGGTTGTGTGGCCCTGGCAAAGTCACTTAACCCCTCAGTACCCCAGGCAACACTCTGGGACTATAAGTTGCAACAAATGGTGCCAACCTGTATTGATAGAGGGAGTTTCCTCATTCATAAGTTCCCTACACCAATAAAATCAGAGGTCTAGTCCTTATCCCTATAAAGGAAAACAACCATGATAAAAATAATAAGTTATTTTTTAAAAGGCATTGTTCATAGGTAAAAACAATATAGAACAGGCAACAGCAGGTAAAAGACAATGATAAACCTGAACCTCCAGATTGGAACTGGCTCTAGAGGTATATTTTTCTGGTCTTTCTGGAAGGGAATTCCAAATCAGAAGTTCATGTGCACATACACATACTCTCTGCAATATCCCACTCAAAGACTGCAGATTTTCCTTACCCCATTCTGATAAGCTCCTATCCTTATTGACTATTTTTAAGGGAAAAAAAGGAAGGTTATTAAAACTTCATTAAATATTACTAAATAATAGGGATCTGAAAATATAAAAAAATAAAAACTGAATCTGAGATAATGACTATCTTTCTTTTGACCTCAAAACCCAAGGTTATTAATATTTCTATTTATAAAGAAAATGAAACTAATCTTTCCTACCCCCATAATTACCTTAAAAAATGTGTGTGTGTGTTTACTATACACACATGCACAGGTTTGTAACAGAATTAGCAATGGCATTTACATATAATTTGAACTTTAGGGGAATTCTTTAAGAAGATTTTGCCGTGTTACATTTCTAAAACTCCATAGCCCATTCTTCACCTTGAAAGTTTATTTTGCCATTTGCATTAACTATAATGATGTTTAAGAATAAGGACAAATATTTTTGAATCATATGATCAACAAAAACAACATTATAATGATTTTCCCTTTCTAAAAGCACAAGGCATTTTCAAATAGCAGCAACACAGTCCTGGAAAGAGAATATATTGTCTGAGAATTAAGGAACTATGTGATCTTGGGAAGTTGCTTGGTTTCTCTAGCCTTCAGTTTAATGTGCGAAATAAAGTTGAACTAAATAATCTCTAACCTTCCTTACAATTTCAAAATCCAATGAGTGTATATGTCTATATTAATATCATAAAACCTTTGCCTAATTAAAAAAATGTTCTGTTATTTTATAGATGAGAGAAATTGGGGCACAAAGAAATTGCAGTTTTATGTTATAGTTATTTGTAGCTGTTAGTCTAGACTTAGAGTTAGGGAGATATGGGTGCAAGCCCCATATCTGACATATACTGGCAACCAATAGATAAGGCAAGTAACTTCTCATTGACTTAAACAACTTCATAAGACTACAAATTAGAGATAAGTTGCTCTACATTGATGAAGGAAGTTAGCACATTGGGAACTCAGGTCCAAATTCTCCCTTCTTCCTCCCCCGCAAAAAACTCCCCCTACTACATTGTAAGTTTGAGTGTTGGGCATATTTTATTCATCTCTCCATCCCCTCCTAGCATAGTACCCTTACATAGTTAAGTGCTCAATCCAACATTTGTTGAATTTATATGAATGAAACTTCCCTGAAGTTACACAATTTGGAACAGAACTGAGAATAAAATTTGGTTATCTGACTCCTAACCTAACTCTCTATACTTCTAATATTAATCAGCTCATTTATTTTCAGGTCTTTGTAGCCATCAAATTGACCAAAAGCAGGAAGTGAAAGTCCCCAAAACTAGCAGATTATATTGTAATAGCGCCTTCTCTAGGATTGGTCATAATAGTTTGCCTTGGATACTTTAATGTTACAAGATATGGGAAAGGATGTTCTTTATCTTCTGTCTAAAACTTGGATCTCCTTGAGGCAAAACCTCATGCCTAACAAAGATGCTTCCTGGAATTTTCTCCCTCCTCATCTCTGTCTCCTGGCTTCTCTAGCTTCTTTCAAGTCCCAGCTAAAACCCTACATTTTACCAGGAGCCTCCCTCAATTCCTCTTAACACTAGTGCCTTCCCTCTGAAAGTATCTCCAATTTATCCCATACGTATCTTGTTTGAACCTGGTTATTTACATATTGTCTTCTCCACTAAACCATAAGAGCTTTAAGAACAGGTAGTGTTTTTGCCTTTCTTTGTATCCCCAGCATTTAGTATAGGCCTGCACATACATAGTTGGCACTTAATATATGCTTACTGATTTGACTTGAATTGCCCTCAAAACATAAAACAAAATTCCGAGATATTCCAAGAGTACTCTATTCTCTCCTTTCCCCCACCATTCTCTCACATATAATGCTTGCCTATCTACATGTTGTATCTTTCCCACCCTATTCCCAATAGCATGCAAGTTTCTTGAGAGTAGGAAGATTTTGGCTCTGGCTTTGTATTCCTAGTACCTAGTACAGTATCTTGAACATAGTTAAGTAACTAATAAATGACTGCTGAATTGAATTAAGCACACATTTATTCTCATATTCAATAACCAGTTCCTTATTCTAAGACACAGAAATGTAGAGTCCTACTTCTTCCTCAGTCACTAATCAATTGCTTTCTTCTTCTGCCAAAGTCTTCTTAGCTATCCATTCTTCTACCATGCAAAAGAATGGCCCATTCACACCATGTTAGGGGATGACTTGGAAATCCAAGTCAGCAAAAGCTGGTTGACATTCATGATTCTAGAGCATGTACCCAAACAAACAGTATTCAGAGGACAAAATTAAGAGGGGGAAGAGCAGGTGCCAGTATATTTCTTTCTGTGTGTGATGTTAAGACAGCAAGTAGAAAAGCCGTGTGAGAATTAACCTGCCGTCTTGCAAAATTGGCCAGAATACACATGGTGGGGTGGAAGAGGACATAAAAGTTCAAATGGTAGAGGATTAGGATAGGGATCTTAAGGAATTCAACTTGAACTTCAAGGACTTTAAAATTAAATAAATCAATTTATGAATATATACAATGTATCTCCCTATCATCCGTATACTCTAAAAGGAAAAAAAAAACTTGTACAGCTGCAGGAAACCTCAGCACTCTTATAGTTCAACCCTATTGTGTTTTAATAGTTACATTAAAAATTTAACATTAAATATCAATACAAACCAAAAACTTGCTGTTACTCCTGACCTTTAAATTAATTTCAATAACAAAATCTCACAATGCTGTATCAGTCACTGCACGTACCCATCAAAATTGTTTGTCCATTCATTCTTATTTACTTTCCCTCATATGTTTGCAGTTAATGTGCCATCCATTCTTCCAGTCACTTTTTCCACCTTGAATTCTTGCACAAATGTCTTTCTAGATTTCTTTGCATTCTTCAGTCTTAATTGCATTATAGTATTTCATTTCATTAATGTACCACTATTTGTTTAACCATTCCCCTATTGTTGGACATCTAGGCATCTCTATTATTTTAGTGATGAGGAAATTGTGACCCAGAATGAGGAACCAAGGCCACCCAGCTAATCAGTGACAAAGCCAGGACTAGAGCCCAGGTCCACTGACTTTCAGTCAAATGTTCTTTACCCTATAGCATACTGAATTCTACCTAGATGCACTGGTAGGGCATATAAACAAGGGACTATAAAAGGATGTCCATGAGTAGGATATAAAGGAAAGATTAATAATCTCTTACTGACTGAAAGGTTCACAGTACCCTTCCCCACCCTCCAGGGAAGGGGATGGGGGGGTGGGTGGGAAAAGAATCTAATTCCATGAAGGAGTATAGGAAACTAGGCAGACAGGTTTGGAGAAGGAGAGGAGACCCTACCATACCTATTGGCTGCATCCAATGACATTCAGGCAGGGCTCAGTCTTTTAACCAGGGAATTTTATAATTTACATAAGGCTTTAAGGTTTGCATTTTATCCTCACCCCAAGCCTGGGAAGTAGATGCAATTTTACAGTTGAGGAAAATGAGGCAGGCATAGATTAAGTGACTGTCCAAGGCTCATACAACTAGTAAGTATCTGAGGCTAAGGTATGAACTCAGGTCTTCCTGTCTCCAGGTCCAATTATATCACCTAGCTGCCTCTAGGAAATTCCTCTCTAAGTTCCTCCTCCAGTGCCTCATCACGGTATTGAGGTAAACCTGGGTTCTCAAAAGCTATCGTAAGCTCTGAGATAACCTAGTGGCACAGCGATAGATTCTAAAGCCAACTGTTATCCAAGGACCAGCCTAGCCACGTTTAGACAGACTCATCATCAGTTTTGCTCCCAAATGATGAATCTTTTGGTCACAGTAGCTCTTAAGCATTATAATATAGTATATAATGACTATATACTCACAGTATCTCTCAATCTGCACTGGCAGAGGAAGTGCCTCCAGTAATTGAATCACATGGATTTGAAACAATAAAGTAACCAACTGAGCATCCCACACCCTCTCTAGAATAGACCTTTCTAAGGGAAGCCCTTCCTAGTATCAGCAGGTCACCTACATAAATATGCACAAATTATCCAATGGTCTCTAAGAGCTTGTGACAGGTAAGCAACAAGGTTCTGAAAACTTACGCCGAAGTGGTCGGAGGTTGTTCAAATGCTTCTTTTGGAATCTTCAGCCCAGGGTTCCGCTTCCTGCCTATGGAGAAGAAACCACAAAAAAAGTTAAGACAAGAAAATACGAGCAATGGAGGCAAAGGTAGGTAAAGTGAATACAGGACAGCACCTACATGAAAACCGCTTTGACCTGCTAACCCCCATGGTTACAGGACCACCACCTCTCCTCAATTCCACCGAGTGAATTTCTTCTCATCTTTCAAAGCCCAAACAAAACCCCAAAACCTGCTCCAGAAAGCCTTCCCTGATCCTCCCTCCCCCTGCAACCTACAGCTGATGACCACCTTTCCCTTTCCCATAGACCTGATGTGATACATAGCTGATTATGTGTTCCTTTGTATTTTAGTTATAATATTTCCTATGCTTTCCCCAAACTACACTGTATTCCCTATGAGTACAGGAAGCATGTCTTATCTAGGCTTATGACGTCCCCCAGTGCCTAGCACAGTGTTCCATACACAGCAGGCTCTTACTAAATGTTAGTCTAATTCAATTGTTAGCTTTGTCCTACTCTTGCAGCCACTATAGACAGGTAGGGCAGGCAAGTTAAAAAAACAAAAACAAAAACCTGGATTTGCAGTGTTTTGTAGAACATTGGATTCTGTGTCAGGAAAAAAAAGTAGGTTCAAATCCTAGCTCTCCTACTTACTATCTATGCGACCCTGGACATTTTACTTTACTTATCTGGGCCTCATTCCCTTCTTTACAAAATGAGTAGGTTGGACTAGATGCTTAGAGATGCTTCTATGATCTTCACATTTGTGGGGAACTCTGGATGTGTTCCTGTACGACCTGGGCACAAGTCATAATTATACAGAACTTTAAAATTGATAAAATGTTTAATAAACATTGTCTCTTTTAATCACCATGACAGTTCTGTGAGATAGGTACTATTGGTATTATTATCCCCACTTTACAGAGGAAGAAACTAAGGCTCAAAGAGCCTCAGTAATTTACAGTGTGTCATACAGCTAAGGGCAGGTAGGTGACACAGTAGCTAGTCAGGAAGACCTGAGTTCAAATGCAGCCTCAGATACTTATTAGCTGTGTAACCCTGGCCAAGTTTGCCTCAGTTTCCTCATCTGTAAAATGAATTGGAGAAGGAAATGGCAAACCACTCAAGTATCTTTGCTAAGAAAACCCCAAATGGAGTTGCAAGGAGTCAGACACAACTGAAACAAATGAACAACAAAATACAGCTAATAAGCATCAGAGATGGGATTTGGACCTAGCAGGTCTTCCTGACTCCAAGTCCAGCACTCTATCAACTACAAAAAGCTCTCTACTTATTAGCTCCTTTGTCTATAAAATGAGGAGGTAAGACTAGAGGATTTCTCTTCTTACTTCTAGCTCAAAATTCTATGATCCTGAGGTTACTTCTCCCATGTATCTTTCTGCACCTGAGTCACACACTATATCGGCATTACCTTTTGCTTGTTTTTCCTCCTACTCAAATGAATCACTTGGCCTTTACCTTTTGAGTGACAAATGGCATAGAGAGCTGATATTTCACAGGTCATAGACAATGGCTAAAGAAGAAGAAAACAACATTGTCCTTTTGCCATTCTCAACCTCATACAATAGAAGAGCAAAACCATTGGAAAATGTGGTGTAGGAGGCCAAGCCAAGATGGCAGAGTAAAGGAAAGCAATACACTGAGTTTCTCTCCACAAATTTCCCCTAAAAGATCTAGAAAATACATCAGATTAAATCCTGATGGGGAAAAAAATCATAATGAGTCCTTAGCGCAGCCCATGTCAGCTTAGGAAGACAGACAAGGAGGTGAGTGAACACTGGAAACAAAATTGGGTCAGGAGCACACTGCAACAGAGCATTCCAACACCTAGAGAGAGGCTGTATACCAGGTCAACAGAAGGTCTCAGACCCATGTGAGGCATCCCCAGACCCACACCAGGGTCCTATGATGGTTACAGGTGTGAATTGGCAGCTTTATAGCCCACTGCCCAGTCCCAGGGTGCAGATCCTGGGCAGAGTGAGAAGAGAACAGTGGCATTCCCAAGTAGGGAGTCCCTGGGCAATGCATAGAGAAAGAAGCAAGTTCAGAAGCCAGCAGAGCGGCAGCAGTGGTGTGGCTCAGACCACAAGGTGTAAGGCTAGCCTGTGGAGAAATAAATAGGGCAAAAAGCCCAGACAAAAAGGGAGCCTACAATTCTACCTCTTAGACGGAGTCCAGCAGCAATCTACTCTTACACTGACCTAAATCAGTCAAGAACTTGCAGAGCTCAGACCAGAGGGGCAACAATCAGACTTTGTCCTGGATCAGACCACTTTGGGATCACTGAAAGTTTGCAGGTCTCCAATCTATCCCTGAGATCCTGCACAACACTCAATACTCCCAAGAAAGTAGCAACAGGACCATCCCTAACTTTCCCTTCAGAAATGCTACAGTAAGAAGGCAAGTCAAAAGAAGGAAGAATATGCAACACGCACACAAAGTTGGGTACAGAAATACATTTCACTCAACAGTGAAATAGGAAGGAAAGACAGCAAATAAAAGGAGGGATTTGTTGTTGTTCTGTCGTTTTCAGTCATGTCTGACTTTTCATGACCCTATTTGAGGTTTTCTTTGCAAGACACTTGAACTGTTTGTTTTTTCCTTCACCTGATCATTTTATAGATAAGGAAACCGAGGCAAACAGGGTTAAATGACTAGTCCAGGGTCACAAAGCTAATAAGTGTCTGAGACTAGATTTGAACTCAGAACTCAGGAAGATGAGTCTTCCTGACTCCAGGCTCAGCCCTCTATCCACTGCGTCACCTCACTGCCCAAAAGGAAGAATTAGTCCTAAGCAAAACAGATTCTAATGGTGTACAAAAATATTTGTAGTTCTTTTTGAGTTGGCAAAGAATGGGAATTTCAGGAGTTGCCCATAAATTGATTAATAGATAAACTTAGGGTATATAAATGTTATGGAATACTATTGTCTTAAACCATTACAAGCATAATTACCAATCAAGATTCCAGAGAACTGATGATGAAATATGCCACCCATCTCCTGAAATAGAGGTGAAAGACTAAGAATGGAAAATATTTTTTTTAATAACATGGCCCATGTAGAAATTTGTTGTGATTGACTATATATGTGTATGACCAACCAAGTTACTATCTATATGACCTTGGGCATCACTTAACCTCTCTGGGCCTAAGTTTCCTCATCTGTAAAACTGAACTAGATAAAATTCTGAGATCCCTTCTAATTCAAAATCTACAATCTTAAGATCCCTGTGACTTCCACCAAAACACCCTTCCTGGCAACCACTCCCCTATTATGTGTAGGCTTCCCTTATTAGAATAAGCTTCTTAAGGACAGGTAGTCTGTTGTTCTTTGTAGTTAGAGCCAGAGGGTGCCTGGCATATACCAAGTCTTTAATAAAGTCTTTTTCACTTCTTTGTTCATAAAAAAAAAGGTGTTGTCTATGAAAAGGACTCAAAACTGGCTCTTAGAAAGTTACGTACTATTATTTTTATACTTTTTGTTTTAACAGCAAACTTATTTCCAAGCATAATAAATACAAACCTATAATTGAACCCTCTCTTATTTAAAAAAAAAAAGGCAAATAGTTAAGAAAAAAATAACCAACACAGTTACCACATCTAACAATCTATGTGAGATTCTACCCTTGTAGTCTCCCACTTGGGAATATAATGTTCCATTAGCTATTCTCTGGAATCATTGTTGGTTTTCCATTACTCAGAGTCTGGCTTCCTTTTAATGATCTCTTCATTTACATTGTAACAGTCATTGTGCACGTTGTTCTTTTGATTCTGTTTATTTATTTAAAACTTGCCATGGTTTTTTTTTCAGTTCCCTCTTTAAACATTTTAAAATTTGTTATATTGTCACATTCATATGCCAAAATTTCTTCAGCCATTCTCCAACTGAGATGGGCACTCACCTTATTTCTAGCTCTTTGTTACCACAAAGAGTGCTGCACTGCATATTTTGTATGTGTGGAATTTGGGGCAGGGTGGGTATGTATCATATACTATTTAAGAAGAGATATGCTCTACTGGTGAGGGAATCTACTGAAGTCTTTTCTCTTTCCCCAATTTAATTTGTGAGCTATCTAAACTCCTGTGCAAAGAGAAAAAGCCACTTACTGGACAAATGTATTGATAAACTCTGTCTTATGGAACAATTAGTCCCTTTACTCCATCAAATAAATGAAAATTCAACGCAAAATTCAAGGGAACATTCACCAAAGGGCAATCATTTGGCAGACAGGCAGAAAGTTATGTACAACCAAAACACCAATGGATTACACAAATGATAAGAATGACAGATCTCAGAGTCCTCTTCTTTTCACTTCCCAACCACAATACCTTCATCCCCCTTTGTCTACTTCACCTTCCTTCCTGTCAGTCCATAAACATTTATTAAGATCCTACTATATACCAGGCATTGTGCCAAGCAGTGAAATTAAAAAGATAAAGACAGCCTCTGCTCTCAAAGAGCTCAACTGTGTAATAGAGGAGACAATATTCAAATAACTATAGACAAACAAGCTAACAGATGGGAGAAAATAGACATAATTAATCTACAGAGAGAAAATGAAAAGCTATGTGGGATAATAATAGATAGAATGCTGATCTGGAGCCAGAAAGATCTAAGTTCAAATCTTACCTATGACATAATAACTGTGTAACCTGTCTGACCTAAAGGTCCTTATCTGTCAAGTGCGGAGATCATACATGTACTGTCTACCTCACTACAAAATGGAATAATATATGTAAAGAGCAAACTGCAAATTTTAAAGTACTAAATGAATGTCATTATTAAAATACCTTGAAGTTTACTGATACCTAAGATTTTATAATACCTCAACTCCAGCAACCAACACAAACTGACCTAGTCTTCTTTAAAAAGAAAAAAAAAAAACAAAACAAAACATGTAAACAAAGCCAGCATAGCACAAATAACCAACTCCACATCATTCGCTAATTAGCTGGTTGTTCTATCCCATAGGTTAAGAAACCTGAAATAGCAACAGCTCTAATAG